TCGACTGTTACTTTGTGGCGGAGCGACAGGGCAGGTTGAGACCACCTAGGAGACAGGTGGGCCTGGCCCTGTTCGGCGTTCGCGGATACTTAACACGCTTAACGAGATCTTGGTATTTGATCTGAGTCTGGCTACGAGCCTATACGCACTAACCATCTACGTGGGAGTAGTTATGGGTATCCCGACGTCGTGGTATCAGCCGAAGCACTTCAGACGTTAGCGACGGAGCGGCGCGCGCCGGATTGGAATGTAAGCCTGCTCTTGTATTAAGGGGGCTAGTTCTGCTTCCGGCCGCCCTCGCAACGTGCAGGTGTGCTATGGGCGATGGGCCCAGACCCCTGTGCGCTTAGGTTTAGACCGGCGTGCTGGCCTCTCTGTTGTGCCTAGGTGGGGCTGCGACGTGTTGATCTTCCGAGGCCGGGCATGACCCAGGAAAGTGTGTCCGGCCAAATGGGATCGAGCGTGTTGGGCTATGTGGTGCACCCCTGCAGGGAAGTTAATCTATTCGAATAGCCGTGATCTTCGGTAACAGGACGACTTGGAGTTGTACCTTGACCTTATGACAACTAGAACCGGATACTTAATAAAACACACCCTTCCAAGTGCCAGATACAACCGGTGGTCGCTCTACCTCAGGGATATGAGGAGGGGATCGCCGGGTAGGATTATGCTATGAGATGTTACTTGGAGATGCTACTTGGAGGACTTCGACCTACCCTCTTCTACCTGTTGCAAGAAGAAGGTGACCAGAAGCGTAGTCTTCGATAAGACTAGCTATCCCCCTCTTATTCTGGCATTCTGCAGTTCAGTCCACTGATATGGCCTCCTTACACATATACCCATGCATATGTAGTATAGTTCCTTGCTTGCGAGTACTTTGGATGAGTACTCACGGTTGCTTTCTCCCCCCTTTTCCCCCTTTCCTTTCTTTCTGGTTGTCGCAACCAGATGCTGGAGTTCAGGAGCCAGACGCCACCGTCGACGACGACCCCTACTACACCGGAGGTGCCTACTACTACGTGCTGCCCGCTGATGACGACCAGGAGTGACCTAGGAGGATCCCAGGCAGGAGGCCTGCTCCTCTTTCGATCTGTATCCCAGTTTGTGCTAGCCATCTTATGGCACCCTGTTTAACTTATGTCTGTACTCAGATATTGTTGCTTCCGCTGACTCGTCTATGATCGAGCACTTGTATTCGAGCCCTCGAGGCCCCTGGCTTGTATTATGATGCTTGTATGACTTATTTTATTTGTAGAGTTGTGTTGTGATATCTTCCCGTGAGTCCCTGATCTTGATCGTACACATTTGCGTGCATGATTAGTGTACGATTGAATCGGGGGCGTCACAGGAACCACGCCTCTCGTGATCCTGTATGGAAGAGGGGCAATCAGGTTTTTGGGGAGCGCGCTCGCGCGACTGCTAGCGACGACGACTTCTTCCCCGACCTCAGCAACCTCATCCTCGACGACATGGGCGACAACGTCAACGCCGGCGATACTGCTCCCGCTGCACCGTATGTGATTCTATCCTTCTTGTTTGAGATCATGGTAGAATTCATGTTTCTAGTATGTACCCTAGATGTGATATGTTCATCTACTATGATTAGTTTAATATCTGCTAGTGCTGTCATGATTTATCTTCTGTTTATTCGGATTAAATCTCGTATTAATTTGCTCATATTTTCAACAATTGCTAGTACAATAATGTGGTCCACGTGTCGAACGGAACCGATCCTAGCTAGCTAGACTGTACTCTTTCTGTGAAGAAATATAAGAGTGTTTAGATCACTATTTAGTGACCTAAACAAGAGGGAATACTAATTAAGCTAATGCTAATCAGGAGATCAATCCTCTAATTTTCTTACGATAGAGTCAAACTAGGCTCGTGGCTGCGGACCTCACCAAGGTTCATCTCAATCCATTAGGTTAATCGTAGTGGAGAGTATCATAACTTCGTATCAAGCATATGATACTAGTGTACGATACTATATCCGTAGTGTATCATAGATTACTATCATATGTGGTCTCATTAATTGTCATGCATGACACATAGCAGTATAAAATTTAATATGATATGGTATGATAATATGATACTCAACCCTCTCTTTCTTTATTTAATTCTACACCATCTCATCAAGATTTCCTAATTGATATGCATGATACTAACTATAATACTCCCATTATGACTTGCCTTAATTCTGTTGGCTGGTGGTTGCTACCATGCCAACAATCCCTTTTTAACTCTTACTACTAACCATGTGACGAGGCAAGGTGTAACAGGTGGCCATAGCGGATGGCAGCTAGTCGTTATAGTAACTTGCAAGCTTGCCATGCATGAAGGGCTAACAACCAACAACAAAATTAACATCAGAGTCAAAAAATATTCAACAACTAGCAATAATGGATATAGGAAGAGAGACGGGGGCCTACACGACGCACAAAGAGGGGTCTAGCGTGCATGTGTGTGTGAAAGAGTGCCGTTGTCCAAGCTACAATGTCTTTCTCCAGCCAGTGCTATGGTTCCATGAATATTGATCGGTATCAGGCAGGTACAATAATGCGGGTGAAGATAGGGACCATGAATCTATGATCAGACTCGATTTTAATCATGCAAATTCTCTCACCCATCCTTGGAATCCAAACTTCTGGTTGTGGCTCTCTCCACTTGTCGCTCCATATGGTCCATGCCATGTTAGATGTCCTTTCTTTTTTTGCGGTGGGCTAACCAACATTGTGTGCTTGCGCAACATGACATGTGGCAACAACTAGTACAAATAGCTATAATTTGGAAGTCACGTGACGAGGCTATCGGCCATAGTTACATACGGTTGCAACGATATCAGCCACAAAATGAACACACGGGCACATTGTAACCTTGAATTTCCGAGCTTGGTGCTGACAAGACGGCGTGTAACAAGTGGCAGCATATTATTGCAGTCGGTAATAATCTCCAGTAACTAATATGGCACCTTCAAGACATTCAAGCTATCCACCACTCGAATGGTTGACATAGCCAACTCTACTGGTTCGCGGCCACCATACCTTTTGACCGCACCCATGCTCATTTTCTGATGTTGCCCACTTACCCTCCACATATCAACACATATTGATGATTGGATCAATATGTATGTGGTGTGTGTTTAGCAAGATAACTCGAGATTATTAAGAATAAAGTATGCATACACTTGGCATGCACACATGGGTGTGTGTGGTTGTTACCTTGTTGACTCTTGGGTTGTATCTATTTGTCTTCGTCGATGACAATCTCCTTGGACCAAACTTGCAAGCAACCAATGCCAGCTACAATAATGCATTGTTCGACGTGGCAATGATTCAATTTTGTTTGTGGACAACAATAGCAAGGCAGGAACCACACGAACCAGTTGTGCCCACGTGTCTTTTTGTTTTTTGCTGATTAATTAGATTTCACAAATTACTTCCGATAAACTAAAATGTAGTAGACACTACAAAGGTTTGCATGTGGACTACTAGTTGTATACCCCCTGTCAAAAGGAAACAAAATAAGAACTATCTATCAGTCAAACTAAACCCATTGTGAATATTGACTTCGCAATGATTTGTCTAGAAGAATTACTTAGCATTAGACGCTACATTATTTTTCCTTTCTAGAACCGTGAGCACACAAGAATAAAGAGCGAATCCGACGGTTCTCTCAACACCAACCAAACATGCATGCGTCAAGGCAAGAAGAAACCCATGGCGCATGTTAGTATTGGCACAGGCCACTAATTCCGGCCGTCAGGTGAGTGGTGGAGAAGATCCAGAATCTTATCATCAGCATCCTTGGTGGCCTCACAGTCTCACTGATTTGCAGTCCACATGCCATTGCCAGCTCAAATCTTCCACTCCAATCTTCCATTGTCTATCCGTCTAATATAATCAAGATCCCCGGGGTTGGGCTTGGCATCATTGACACTTGTCCATGAGTGTACATAGTACCTCCCCTCCAATAATTCTCATTTGTTTACACAATAATCCCCGCTTGTTTGTTTACCCAATAATTCCCGTTAGGGTATGCAGGAGATGTGTTTGTATGTGACAAGTTGTTCACCGAATCACCGATAGTGCACTTTTTTAAACTATAGTTAACATACGAGCCGACCTTGTGCCTAGCCTCGAGTGCAAAAGCAATCATGCACAGATTGATTGTCGATCGTTGCATGAAACAAGACCAATGCACGCAAAACCTTTTGTAATGAATTCTGAATAGTGTTGACCACAAGTCCACAAACATTGTTATTCAAAGTACAGAACAAAGACAACCATGTCATTAGTACTACTCCCTCCGATGCAAAATAAGTGTCGCAGTTTTGAACTAACGTTTGGATTGGAGGGAGTACAAGAAAATGAACAAAACACCTTCTCAAAATTAGAATTAGTGAACATTTTTCTTTGATGTCGGAAATATAAGCGCATACCATGTGAGTCCTCCAGGTCAGTCTGGATCAAGGATTTTACTCTTGGTTGATAATTTCGTTAACCAAACCGGTCACCAGTTTTCCCGGTCCACCCCAAGAAGCTATATTACCATTTGATTTTTTTTGTCGAAAATTTGAATTTGAACGCAAAACCTGGAACAAATAAAGCGAGGACGGTCGTATTGGCTGAACTGTGTTGTGGCCGTAGTTGTAATCAGCAGTGTAGGTGTCATGAAGGTCCTGAGATCGAAAATCTCCAACTAGGATGTGGTTCTTCCTTGCTGTAACACCGTGGTAGGATGATTTTTCCTGCATTTATCGGGCATAAATATACTTATTATTTAGCTAAAAGCATTTGAATTCAAAATTTGTTTAAAGTTATCTTGGTGGTCATTGGTAGAAAACAGAACTGAGAAAAAAAGACTTGGTAGAGATGGATCAGACAACGCAGAAAAGTTGCAACGAAGAAATGGGAGCGACCTTCCTTGGTCTAAAAACAGTACATACAATGTGCTATCTATCATATTTTTACTAAACAAAAAAAAATATTTGCACTTTCTTTTTACAGTGAGGCCATGTAGGCCTGATTGTAGGAGGAGTCCATCTCATGGACGACGAGCCTTGTGACGTTCACCCGGGCGCTGGTGGCGTTGTTGAAGAGGTAGACCCCAGCGTTGGCATAGATGGCCTCCGTTGGGTACACCCGTGACGTCGCCGTCAACCTCCCCCCCATTGCAAAGCTCTCAACAATGGAATGGTCCACTAGCACCCTCATCGTAAACTCCTCGCCATTGAGCACGGGGACAATATTGCCTACGACCCTCTTGACAATATCGTTGGCATGAGATGAGCGCATCTCGTCATGGCAGAAGTGTGTGCGCAGGCCGCCGTCGAGGCTTCTGGCCACGTAGAAGTAGACGCCGGTCCGCTCCATGTCACCACCATGGCGCCTGGCATCAGCAAGCACAAGGAGGCCGAAGGGACCGAGTGTGCCCCGTCCAGTCGTGCCACCGCTGGTGCTGCAGTTGTAGCCGACATCCGCCTCCTTGGAAGCGGCGACGTCAAGCTGGTCAAGACGAAATGAGGCCTCGATGTCGAGCTGGGTGGCACGGTGAAGGCTGAGTGGGAATACGGAGCCATGGTCGACGGTAACGCCTCCAAGGTTGGTGGAGTTGGTCCGGAGCGTCTCCACCTCCTCCACGGGCCACTGCAGGAGGTTGCTCCCCGTCTTGGTGTCCAGCACCACAGTGCGAGGGATCGACTGCAACAGTAACAACAGAAAACATTAGCAACTTTTCAGCAAAGAAACCTCTTGGTACCAATCATTTTGACAGCATATAAAGAAATAGTTAACTGTGGGGCAAGCAGACAAGACTTCCCTTTTTCTTGTCTAATCCTAGTTTTGTGCAGACAAGGCCACATGGTGGTGCATGATTGATTCATGGGTATGAGTTTTGCTTTTGGGACACACACAACTAGCTAGTTGCATTGGTGTATATTGTACTACTCCATTATATCCAAATAAAGGGCATTACCAACTGTCACAATTGAACTACTCGATCATCCATTTCAATTCATTTTAGCAACTGCTACCATTCTATCATTGTTTCCTTTTCCTTGTAGTATCCTCACTGTAACTCAAGACAAAGACATCCCTCTTCTTGTCTAATCCCAGTTTGGTTCGTGCTAACAGAAATTATGTTTGCTTATTATATCCAGTGAGGTGGTTCTTGGCATGCCACTAGGCCACATGGGGTGTGCAGAGTTTGTTTGTTGGACACATCCACAATGGCATTGCGCATTCAAAGTATCTCAACAGTAGCTGGAACTCTTTGCAAGCTGAAGGAAACTAAGGGACACTTGACAACGAGATGACAGCAACATCTCTTTAGCTGATATCTATCTATAATTCGTGCCAGGTTGCAGCTATTATCATTTGCAAGCCCATGTGCCCATGGCACACAGCCCTTCAATCATTCCGACGTGTATGTGAAACCCAACAAAAAGTGCATGCAACGCTCCTAACCATGCAAGTTTGTGCTAAAAAAGCGATAGTGCACAAAGAATCAATTAATGGAGGTGTTAATCAATCACTTGAAGAAGACGATGAAAATGTCAAGTACCTGGAGGGAGGCCCATCCCTTGGCGACATCAGCGTGCTCGGAGTCGGTCTCACCGACCCACCCCCACAGCACACGCCGCTTCTTCGCCGGATCATAGAACGTCTTGGACGCATAGAACTTTCCCCAGTCATACCTCAGCCCAATGCCGACATCGGCATCGGCGTCCAATGGCGTCCATGTGTTCTTTGCCGCGTCATACCTCCCCAACGCATAGTAGTCGTGCCGGTCATCGTCAGAGCTCTCCTTCATCACGTGCAACACATCGTCACCGCCATTGGTGGACGCCGCTGCCACTACCTCTGTCATGTCAATGCCCCTTTTACCACCGACCGGGTACAAATCAATGCACTCCCACATACCCGTCCCCGGAACACGGTGAAGCAACCCGGGGACAAGCTCATAGTTGATGAAATCATTGGTCTTATAGGTCATGACCATGCCGGCATGGCGGTCATCCTTGGAGCCGATGACGAGCCGCCATGTGTCATCTGAACCATCAAACCACGCAGTGGTCGGGTCCCTGAAGTCCTTCTCCCCGACGCCCGGTGGCGGGTACATCACCGGGTTGTTCTCATACTTGGTCCAGTTGATGAGCAAAGGGTCGGAAGGGTCGGTGGGGAAAGCCAAGCATTGGACCTGGACCGATGCGTTGGTGGAGCCGGTGTAGAGCATGACGATGCGGCCGTCGGGGAGGACGGTGGCAGAGCCTGACCAGACGCCATTGATGTCGTACCATTGGTCAGGGGACATTGCCACGGGGAGGTGGCGCCACCGGACCAAGTCGCGGGAGGCGGCGTGCCCCCACGCGATCTTGTTGCCCCAGATGGCACTGTCCGGGTTGTACTGGTAAAAGAGGTGGTACCATCCCTTGTAGTACACGGGACCTGCACTTGCATTTTGCATCAACAAGATTACAGCAACAAGTATGCATGGCATCGGTAACAACTAACAATGGCGGAAATGTTACGTACCGTTGGGGTCGTTCATCCAGTTCTTCTCGGGCTGGAAGTGAAAACCCGTGCGCTGCCACTGGAGCATGGCATTGCTCCACGGGAACGCGTTGCCGCCGGCGTCCGCCCCAAGCATGCCGCCGTGGGCGCCGGCGCCGGACGTCTTCTCTGACACGCCGGAGTCAGGGCCCCGGCTGCTGGTGCTCATCGGCGCCGCGTCGACCGTTGTCTGGTGGTCAGACATGACGACGATGCCACCGGCGGGCAGCTGGCCGTTGACCCTGACGCCGGCGAGCGCGGCAACCACGAGGAGCACGACTGCCGTCGCCAGCAGCAGGGCGGCACAGAGCGGGCCTGCAGTCCGGTGCGCGCGCCCCACCGTGGTGGCGGCCTCGGCATCCTCCGGCAGTGGCGCGTAGGAGCACGGCAGGGGCGCTGAGCCGCCGTCTCTGGCCTCCATTGGCACAAAATTGAAGTGAAACGCAGAGGAAAGATTAGTGGAAGTGATTAGTGGAAGCTCCCCTGCTAATCTTAACAAAAGAGGAAGAGGATGTGTGTGTTTGCCGGGGAGCTTCTCCTTCCCATTTTATAGTCTCCATGCCACCCGTTAGCGGCCTAGCTGGCGCGGCCTCATTGGCCGGTGGCGGCATCCACCACCGCGGGCCCGGAGTGTCAGTGCTAATCATCATCTGTCCAGGCCATGTTATCCAGCTCGAGCCTTGTCGCACTCACTCATTGTTCCGAGAAACTCTACTGGCAGTACTAGCTAGTGGCTCTGGCTGGATCATTATATTCTTTACGTAGTACTTCCTCCGTCCGGGAAAAGTTGTCTTCATGACATTTCTGTGTTCAGAATTTCAGATCCCATGATCCAGTTGGATTATAGATTCCGCTGAGAGAGAGAGAGAACCGAAACCGCTGCTCATGGGGTCGATCGATCATGGCGCCCCAGCTAATTTAGCTTAGAACATCTACAGTCCGACTAGATAAATTCAGACACTCAAACGCTCATGGGTCAAGATGGCAACGGGGACGAAACCCACCGGGTTTTGCTTGCCCAAACCCATCCCCACGAGAAAATCACAAACCCGTCTCTGTCCCCATCAACGTGTGCGGGGTTAAATTTTTGCCCATCTCCTAAACCCATCAGGTTTTCAAAACCCACGGGGAACCCGTCCCCACGAGCAGTCAAAAAAAACAACAACATTTGGAAGAAAAACAGGAGCATATTACAGCAGCAGGCGACGGCTGGGGGATTTAGGTTTAGGTTTAGGTGTCGTGTTGTGCGGGAGAGAGAGTCCTAAAGAGCGAGCAACACTGCAGCGACCGAGCGAGGGGTTTGTTTGTACTCTAGGGCCTCGACGCTGTGGGGCTCGGCTGCTCGGGCAGTGTGGCTTTGGGCCACTTGAGTCAAGATGGATCGGTGCATGCTAAATAATGTATTTTGACGGGTTTTGTCGGGTTTCGCGTTCGGATAGTACTCAAACGGGTTTAAACCCGCTAAACATGCCGGGTTTTATAATGTACCCACGAGCAGCCCCGCGGGATAGAAAGTCGTCCATCCCCGTCCCCTAATTGGGTAAAAACCAGCGGGGACGCGGGTTTCGGGGCCCTATTACCATCTTGACCCGCAGGCATGTCCGTAGGCAGTGACCGATTACTCCACAAATTTGCTCTTCTGCATCCGGATACTTCATAATAAAAATCCTAAATCTATACGAAAGCATGCAAAGAAAAAAAATCGCGTACTACGTAGATCAACTACTCTAGTCCTTATCGAAGATGTCCACTATCTTCGTGCCCAGCTCCGTGTACATGGGTGCTAGCCATAGCTCCGACTCCTCCGGCTTCTCCGGGTCGACCTCCGCATCCATCTCCGCTTCGACCTTGTCGAAGAGCGCCTCGGTTGCCGCCCGTTCCTACCTGATAAATCATCGGTTGGCCTCCACATAGGCCTCATCCTGGATGGATTCCAGGATGGCATGTTCTCTGACATCTCGTCCGCTTGGGCGACGGCGAACTCTGCCTCCGCGTCCTTCATGATGAAGTCTGGAGCCGGCGCCAGCTCCTGCTCCGGCTGCTCCGCCTCGTCCTTCTCCTCCACGTCCATCGGATCCTGCAACTACTCCTCTCCATCCTCCTCCTCTGGCTCCAGCGAGTCTGGAGGCAGCACGTCAGCGATGCTAGCGGGGCGCGCGGCGCACCTCGCCCAGATCTCCTCCTCGATCTGGTACCGACGCTCTGACGTGAGCACATTGTAGGTCATGATCTTTCACCAAACCTTGGCTATGCCGAAGAGCGTGGAAGAGCGGCGGAGCAAGAGAGAGGAGGTGGATAGGCTCGGGCTAACCATGCGGAGAGGGAGGAGGTGGATGGGCTAGGGTTGTGGGACGCCGGCC